GAGTTGCAAGTCCTTGGAAAATATGTGATAAATTTTCACAAAGTTCCTGATTTTTCTTATCCAAAAGTTCTTCTGTTTGTTTCAAAGTCTGCAATGAGGACTTGGCTAAAGCCTCTTGTAAATCTTTGAGTGTAATGGAGGGAGGAGGTGTTGGTGGGGGAGATCTAGGTTTTTGTTGTTGAGTTTGCACCACAGGAGAGGAAATAGCTGTTTTAGACAACGCAGGAACAGTACGTTTTGAAGCCATTCTGCCAAATTATTTTTTTTTTGAAAGTCACAGCAAATATAAACTTAAAAAGCTTGATTTTAAATTAAAAAAAAATTAAAATCCTTTAAAATCCGCAACCGGAAAGAAAGTGAAAGTTTTCCTTTTGTTAAGAAGAAAGGAATGCTTCCGCGGCCATTTTCTTGTCACTTTCACTTATAGCAAGCAAAAACTCCCAATAAAATCTTCGAGTTAAAGTCACTTTTTAACTAAAATAAGGATCCCCTGTCAGATTCCGTCTGTTTCAAAAGTTACTCACAAGCAGCTACAATGTAACAGCAGTGGCGGCGACGTCTGGCTTCGCTCCGAGGAACGAAGACACACCGAGCTGCGGAGAAGAGGTTAGGACTCCGGGGGAATTCTCACCTACATCCCCCCAGGAACGCTCCTGGGGGGGACTAGGGAACTCAACCCCTATCCCAACCAAACTCACTTTCTCCCCTTCGCCCGGGGAGAAAGTTCTGAGCCGCAAAACAGCTGGTCCGCGCTGTTTTGACGGCTTTGACGCAGTCCCGGGCTGGAGGCTAAGGAAAAAGCCTCCTTCGGCGGCGCCTCGCCACAGGAAGCTCCAATTTTGTTGGTATTTTAATCACGTTTCCGTTTCCAACACATTGAAGTGAGAACAAACAAATCCAAGCAATTTTATCTGACAGATGCACTGAAAATTCCTCGGCACGGACCTGAAGGTAAGCCTCTGAGCCCCCATTACCCAGGAGGGTCTGGGTAATCCTAAACAGGGTTGTTGGGTGGTTCTCTGCAGATACAATAAGAGTGGAGAAATATTGACTTTTCATTGCTCTTACTGCCATGAGGTAGGCCTTAACAGTGGCTCTAGCTCAAGATTGATCGGATTCATTCCTCGTCTTCCTCCAGCGGCACTCTAGACATCTCTTAATCCTTATCAGCTCCCTCAACTCCTCTGTGAACCATTGGGAACACCTGGAGCAATGGACTGAGAGAGGTCACATGGGCATAATCCTGTCCAGGGCCTCCACCACCTCCCTATTCCAGGCAGTGTTCAAGGCCTCAGTGGGACCATACAGTAGAACCTCAGGTAAATCGTCCACCTCCCTCTGGAACCCCAATGGGTCCATCAGTCACAGGGGGGCTGATTGATCAAATAGGTCCTACTACAGACAGGGTAGTGTAAAGGAATCTCAAAATCACTACGGCATTTTCTGACCATGACAGAGGGGACAAAAATACTCCCCCCCCTCAGATCCCATTGCCACTGCTCATACAACAAAACAATATCTGGTGTGTGACCACTGTTTTGAGTTGGGCCATGAATGATCTGGGATAGGCCCATGGCCACCATGGTGATTGTGAACTTCCAGGCTGCTTCTGAGTTCTGTCCCAGGGACAGCAAGTTGAAGTTCCCCCCAGGACCACCAGCCTAGGGAACTCTACCACCAACCCCCCAATGGCCTCTAGCAGCATGGGCAAGGAGGTTGCTAAGCAGCAGGGAAGCTGGTATAATAGCAACAATCCCTACTGATCCCACAAGCCTATCTTCAAAAATAGGGTCACAGAACCAGCAACTTCTGGAGTAAGGCACCTGAGGCCAATAAAGACTCCCAGATGACAATTGCTACGCCCCCTCCCCTGCCTTGGAGTCTTGGCTGGTGCCATACCCTAAACTCAGCCAAGCACATTTCAGAAAGAGGAATGCCCCCCTCCAAGTCTAGCCAGGTCTCGGTAACACATGCCAGGTTGGCCTGCTCCTCACTGATAAGATCACAAATAAGCGGAGCTTTATGGTTAACTGACCTGGCATTAAGCAACAACAGCCCAAAGCCTGGGCCTCTGTCAGTCTGCTGACCAGGGCCTGAGCCTGAATACAGAGGGCCAGAACATGACACCGGTACCAAACACCAGGGACATCTTCCCCAGGAGTGGCCTGCCCTCTGTTTTCCATCAAAACATCCCATGCCCATCATCATCTGAATAGATTAACCAGCCTCATGCCCCTCAAAGTCCACATCCCCCTCCAATTCTGGCCTCCTGGCTCCCCTAGCCAAGAGTCCTTCCACCCACTCTGGTACTGCAGACATCCTACAAGTAGCCCAGGGGCAGTGGCAAGCTCTCATGGTGCTTCAGCCCTTGCTGTCAGCATCGTTGGGAGCCCTAACCCACTACCTCTCCCCCATCAAACTGCAACCACCCAACCAGCTTCTCTCACTAGCCGGTTAGGTAGTGTCCCTCCCAATTCTCCCCTTTTCCTGACCCTCATCCAGGTAAGAGGGTGCTCAATAAACCCTGGTTCACTTGCACACATACCACATCCATACTCAGGTCCACTTCCCCACTGGCTCTCACCCTGAGGAAGGCCAACCATGCCACACTGGTGGGTCCCTCAACTCTAATTACTCCCACATGGGGTCCCCACTCAGCCAGTACCCACTGGGGCCCATCTGCTGGCATCATATATCCACCACTCCAGCCACCAGTTGCCACAGGCCAAAGACCTTGCTCACTCCAACTATCGCCTCACTGCAGCCCACAGCCCCCCCCATTGCCATTACTGTCATCATCGCTCAACATCTGCAGAGACTCTGGCAACCTCCTGCTAACTGTTGTGCCTGAGTGGAACCCTGAGGGGACTCCAACTTCTCTGTCATCTCCTATTCCAGGATATTCTGGTCTGCTTCGGCTCTGCTCCCTCACCCCCCACCCCCCAAGGAGGCACAAGGTGCTTGGCAGCTCTGGCTGCTCGGTTGCTGCTTGCCCCAGCCACTTGGTCACCACTCCCTCTGGCCTGTCTCGGCCCCCTCCAGACACCCTGCTTCTGATGTCCTAAACTGGTCGCTTCTCCACCACCTGGCAATGCAAACCCATTGACCACTCCACTGGTCTCCACTCTGCTCTGACCCAACCAGCTGGCTGCTCTAAACGCTCATCTTTGGCTCAAAAAACCTGGGTGAAAGACTGGGCAAGGTAGGAAACTGGGAAGGCCATCAGGGAACCGCTGGGTGAGGAAAACCTGGGCTTGAGGAAACCACTCAAGTCCACAACCTCACCTTGTAGACCTGCACCACACATCTGCTCCCATCTGCCATCTTGGCTCCATATAATATGTAGCATAGAAATGTCTATGCATGAAAATTATAACAGAGAATTTCTAGCATAATTGCCATATGCAAGATATAGATACAGGAAAGAACAAATTTCTTAACCTACTTGTACAGCCTTTCTACCAAAACATGGTGCACCTTACCTGTAGTGTGTATCGGTTTTTGAAGCAGTTGGTAACTAGTTCCCCTTTGGATAGCTGATATAGCCATGTTAATTTTCTTCCGCTGTGACGACTTGCATAGAAAGAAGTAAATCTCTGATAACTGCGCTCCAGCTGCAGTTCAAAACAAAACAAACCAACTCTAGTCACTTTCACATATTTCCGGTCTTAAGTGCATTTTATTTATTTGTTTAAATATTTTTATTGTAAATAGCTGTTATTTTATCTCTTCGTTGTGGGCTGCTGAGAGTTCAGTACAAGAAATGGCAGCTATATAAAAGTTTTTAAAAATAAATTCTACTGATATTGTTTTAAAATCAAGTTAGATTATATTCCATTATTATATGCCTTCACAAGAAAGATAACTGGGTAGTTCTTCCTGTTCAACCTTTATTAAAATGAGTAAAAACTATGTGGTCATTTTCTTACAAAGCTGCTGTGCCTTTCAATAAACTTACTTTGGAGAATTCTCCAGAGGGCTGTATTACGTATTTTGTATTACTTATTTTGTATTACTGTACTATTTTGTACAATGGGAAATCATTGATGCAGGAGAACAGGAAGACAGGGCCCACAGTGATGGGTTCTTTCTAGCCTATTAAACGAAAATAGTTTGGGGAAAATATTTTTTATATTTGTGACCTCTACTATAATGCAACTATGCAACATATCAAAATAATGAAATACATTACCATTACCTCTCCACAATCTGAAGGGTGGAGGTATGTTTGCATCTGCCTATTTCATGGCTGTCATGGAAACTTCCACATGTTCATAACTTTTGCATAAAATGCTTACCACAACAAAAAAATTGTGCTAATGAAGACAGACTAAAAGCACATTTCTTTTTCCCATTATTGCAGAGATTCATACCTTTAATTTATTTAAAATATTTTGAAACAATCCTTTATTCTGATGGATTCCATGGCAGAATACAAGAAGCATAAAAACTAATATATGCTACAAATACAATACAAAAGAAAATTACAAAGCAAATTAGACACATTAAGAATCACAGCAATCTAAGGTTAAAAAGGAAGTTAAAATGCTTGGGAAAGTAATCTTTAAACTTGTGAAACTAAAGCATCTATTTCAATCATACATCTATCTATAGGAAAGATGAGTGACTTTTTTCCACCTCAGGACTCCCCACTTTTAAATCATATTATTTTTGCCTCCAAAAACTGTAGTGACTTTTTCCAATGATACCGTACTATTAAGGGGGAGAATAGAAAGAAATGCATTATTTCTGGTCAATTTCCTATGGGGCGGGATGTGGACTTGGAAGGTGGTTTTTTTAAAAAAGTGAGAAGAAGAATATTAAGAACACTTTCTGAGTAACTAAAATCTTGTATTTCCTTCAGATATTTGAGTCTTACACTGTTTAAGGCTTGAAAGGAAATAACCCGCATCCTGAATAGCGGTCAAACGCAAATAGGTACTACTGCAATGTCTTTCTTTTAAGATCTGATAGAATATGGGCTCATCTAATTGTAGCAGTTAACATTATGGCAGCTACTTCCTACACAAATTGAAGCTTCTGAATTGGAGTGTATAAATGTTTTTATTTTGAATTATTTTGAATTTGAAACATACTTCAAAGGAGCAGTTTCCAATACAGAATTGGCTGCTGACATTTTGGAAATATTTTGAGCTTGGAATGGAACTGTTTCCAACTTGAAACACTACCAAAATGTTTGGAAAAAATTGCAAAGAAGTATTACTTCACACAGATGATATGAAGACAGACTGTCATCAGCAAACTATATGAATAATGTTAAATTCAAAATGAAAATGTTTTATCCTCAAAATGCCTAGCAATTGTGATGGAAGGCCTTAAGGACTCCCTAGTTCTATAGCAGCCCCATGATTATCATGGAAGCTTTAGTGTTTTAATTATCAGATTTATACACCACCCCATTAGGTAGATTTTATTATATAAAATCCAATATCAAAGTACAATCACATCCATAAATAACCATTAAAATCAACAACTAAAACTAGCAGAAAAAAGACTATACCCCATTTTGTTCTTTATTTCCCAAAGGCTCAGAAGAAGACCACCACTTTGATTACCTTCCAGAAACTTAATAGGGAGGTAGAAAAGCTGTTCCACAAGGCTAGGACAAATGCAGAGAAAACTGATTTTTGGACCCATAACCTGCTAGCCTCTTATGGGAAGGAGACCATCAGCATATTGCTTGTTCACATGTATAGGCAGATTCTATTAGGAGGTGCTGATTCTATAGCTTCTAGGACTGATCCATATATTGCTTTACAGGTCATAACTAGCACTATGCTTCAGACCACATGACCAGCTTAGACCCGTGGTGGCGAACCTATGGCACGCATGCCACAGGTGGCATGCAGAGCCCTCTCTGTGGGCATGCGCGCCGTCGCCCCAGTCCAGTCCTAGGCCTTCAGTCCTGTCCATGAGCAACCTGCATCAATACCTGCACAGGGTAAGGTTGTCACGCCCGCCCCCGTCTCCCCAAGCATTTTTTTACTAACCTGCCTTTCAGCTGCATTCCGTTTCTCCGTTCGCTTCTCAGCCTTCGCTGTGTGTTTGTGGGACTATCGGTAAAAAAAAAAAAAGTTCCATCAGACTTTCTAACTTCTCGCGAGATCTCGAGAAGTTAGAAAGTCTGATGGAACTTTTTTTTTTACCCATAGCCCCACAAACACGCGGCGAAGGCTGAGAAGCGAACGGAGAAACGGAATGCAGCTGAAAGGCAGGTTAGTAAAACAACGCTTGGGGGAGACGAGGGCATCTGGGCGGGGGTCGGCATGGCAACTTTACCTTGCATGGTGGCGGGAGGGTGGGGCGCGTGCCCTTCCCATGCCAGGACAGCCCGTGCAGCCCCGGGGCGGCCGTGCTGGGCGGCGGTGGGCAGGGTGTTGAGGTGGGGAGCAGGTGGAGATCGCGAAGTTGGAATTGATTGATTGACCTTTCCCCCCCCCCAAAAAAAACCTTCGTTTCCTTGCATGTGGCGGCGGTGGTGGATTGCAAAGTAGCAACAGCATGGGGCTGGAAGTCAGGTAAGGAAAGAAAGGCAATTTCTGGGGGGAGCGAGGATTTCTTTCCTTACCTGCCCCACTTATTCCGAGGCTGCTTTCCGCTCAGACGCGTTGCTCTTGCCAATGGCCCAACCGCCCAATTCAGCATCCTCCCTCCCTGAGCCTCCGGCGCTCCACCTGCTGCTTTGGTGGCTCTGTAGGCAGAGCTGCAAAGTTCTCTAACAGAGAAGAGAACTTCGCAGCTCTGCCAACAGAGCCGCCAAAGCTGTAGCTGAATGGGCAGGTGAGGGGGAAACCTGCCCCACTTGTTCCATGGCCACTTTCGGCTGAGCCGCATTGCAGCAGCATTGGGTGCAATACGCGAGGTGGCAAACAGCTGCGTCATGCCGAAACCAGCCGTTTCCCGCCTCCTGCCCAATGCCGCTGCCATGAGGCCGCGGAACAAGCCAGCTGGCAGTAAGAAACCGATATACCGGTTCCTTACCTCCACCCGGCTTCTTCCGTGGCCTCATGGCAGTGGCATTGGGTGCGAGGTGGCAAACAGCCACATTGTGCCAAAACCGAGGGGCCGGCAGGCTGTGGCTGCTGATGGACACACTTGGCCCCCATGCGCTCGCTGTGTGCGTGGGCCGATGGTGTCGGGCAGCAGCTGCCCGGCCCCTGCCTTGCCTTGCCTTGCCCTGCAGCAATGGCACCTCTGCCCTGCCCCAACTCACCTCGCCTCACCCTGCAGGACGAGCCTCCTGCCTGCCATCCCACCCGCCAGAGACCCCCTGGATCTCCCCCAACCCTGCCTGGCCCCGTTAGCCACACCCACCCCGGCCACACCCACCCAATGGGCCACGCCCACCCAATGGGCCACACCCACCCGGCACCTGATACATAAGTGGGTTTTGGGTTGCAGTTTGGGCACTCGGTCTCTAAAAGGTTCGCCATCACTGGCTTAGATGGAGTGGTAAGTACATCAAGAGAATGCCCATACAGTGAGGGAAAAAATTATTTGACCCCCTGCTGATTTTGTACGTTTGCCCACTGACAAAGAAATGATCAGTCTATAATTTTAATGGTAGGTTTATTTTAATAGTGAGAGACAGAATAACAACAAAAAAATCCAGAAAAATACATTTCAAAAAAGTTATAAATTGATTTGTATTTTAATGAGTGAAATAAGTATTTGATCCCCTATCAATCAGCAATATTTCTGGCTCCCTTAAAGGGAGTGCTCCTAATCTCACCTTGTTACCTGTATAAAAGACACCTGTCCACAGAAGCAATCAATCAATCAGATTCCAAACGCTCCACCATGGCCAAGACCAAAGAGCTATCCAAGGATGTCAGGGACAAGATTGTAGACCTACACAAGGCTGGAATGGGCTACAAGACTATCGCCAAGCAGCTTGGTGAGAAGTTGGTGCAATTATTTGCAAATGGAAGAAACACAAAATAACTGTCAATCTGGGGCTCCATGTAAGATCTCACCTCATGGAGTTTCAATGATCATGGGAACGGTGAGGAATCAGCCCAGAACTACACGGGAGGATCTTGTCAATGATCTCAAGGCAGCTGGGACCACAGTCACCAAGAAAACAATTGGTAACACACTACGCCATGAAAGACTGAAATCCTGCAGTGCCTGTAAGGTCCCCCTGCTCAAGAAAGCACATATACAGGCCCGTCTGAAGTTTGCCAATGAACATCTGAATGATTCAGAGGAGAACTGGGTAAAAGTGTTGTGGTCAGATGAGACCAAAATTGAGCTCTTTGGCATCAACTCAACTCGCCGTGTTTGGAGGAGGAAGAATGCTGCTTATGAACCCAAGAACACCATCCCCACCATCAAACATGGAGGTGGAAGCATTATGCTTTGGGGGTGTTTTTCTGCTAAGGGGACAGGACAACTTCATTGCATCAAAGGGACAATGGACGGGGCCATGTACCATCAAATCTTGGGTGAGAACCTCCTTCCCTCAGCCAGGGCATTGAAAATGGGTCGTGGATGGGTATTCCAGCATGGCAATGACCCAAAACACATGGCCAAGGCGACAAAGGAGTGGCTTAAGAAGCACAGTAAAGTCCTGGAGTGGCCTAGCCAGTCTCCAAACCTTAATCCCATAGAAAAATCTGTGGAGGGAGCTGAAGGTTCGAGCTGCCAAATGTCAGCCTCAAAACCTTAATGTCTTAGAGAGGATCTGCAAAGAGGAGTGGGACAAAATCCCTCCTGAGATGTTTGCAAACCTGGTGGCCAACTACAAGAAACGTCTGACCTCTGTGATTGCCAACAAGGGTTTTGCCACCAAGTACTAAGTCATGTTTTGCAAAGGGGTCAAATACTTCTTTCACTCATTAAAATGCAAATCAATTTATAACTGTTTTGAAATGCGTTTTTCTGGATTTTCTTTGTTGTTATTCTGTCTCTCACTGTTAAAATAAACCTACCATTAAAATTATAGACTGATCATTTCTTTGTCAGTGGGCAAACGTACAAAATCAGCAGGGGATCAAATAATTTTTTCCCTCACTGTAGAAGTAAAAAGTTGAGATCATTACTATGTAACTTAATGCACAGAAAAAAGTTGAAATCCCTGCTTTTTTTTTTCTTCCCCTTTACTCCACAATTTACTTCTCCCCTTTTTTGCTTACCCACTTTCCTTATTCTCTTTATTTTCATTTGTGTTTTATATTAAGAAAAAGAAAATCTTCCTGGCTCAACATCAGATAAAGAATATACAAAACCAGTAGCCAACATGACTAGTCTGCTATGAAAGATAAATTTATTATAGATGACAGCAGTATAGACAGAAAGTGATGGGTAAGGCCAACTCCTTAATCACCTAGTTGGACATCCAAGTTACGATTACATCAAAGAGACTGCTATCTTATTACAGACTGATCTGCCATTAAAGACCAGTAGCACTAAGCTGCAGAGCAACCTAACATACACTGATTAGAGAAAATCCAGAAGAGTGATAGCTCTCAGGTGTCTTTCTACGCTTCCTCTCAATTGTCTAATCCAAATTCCTGGACTTACATGGCTCTATACAGACAGGAGCAAAATGATAATATATAATTTGTTTTAGAGTTGCAACAGAAGAAATGTTGCTACTATAAAACCCATGAAACAAAACCTCTGAAGGTGATTAAAATTCAAAATAAATATTCATGCCACCTTAACAAAAAAAGGGGCCTGACAAAATTAATAAATCCTTCATTTAAAGGAACAATTTACAGACTATTAATATGATCAGATGGACCTATCTAGAGCTCACCATACTAACTACTCACTAAACCATACACATAAAGACAAGGAGAGGATATATATAGCATTTTAAGATAGCCAATTTTTTTTAAGAAGACTTAAAAGTTGCTCAATTTAATGGCTTAACCAGGTTCTACTTTGCCATTAGCCCTCAAAGAATATTACAGTTATCCTATATCTTAAAACATAAGTTTAGAAACTAAGACGGTCTCACCTCTGATGGGAGAGCGAATGCACAAGACATTTGAAAGGGCCAAGATCCAGAGCTTAGAACCTGTATGCTGAAGTCCACTGGTATAAAAAAATGAACAATTAGGTAAGACAATCATTTTATTTTGGTTAATGACCATCAAAAATGATCAACTGAACAACGAATTAGTTAAATATGTTCTGTTGCATAAAAATAAAAGAAAAATAAGGAGCCTCCTTTGTTTTCAGAGATGCAAGAAAAGATATTGGAGAAAATCACATAGGAATTGTTTCAAACACAAGAGTAACTGAAGTATTTTTAAATTAGAGATGTCATCCAATCAATTCAAGTAACAACATTTATTAATCAAATTTATATGACTGCCCATCTCACAGAAAGCAACTCTGGGAAGTGTATAACAACCCAATAAACAGTAAATATTATTAAAGTGCACAATTCCATGCCTAATGCATCGTATATTTGATTTAAATAAATGTGTTCTAGCTTTGGACTTCTGGTAGAAAAATGGCGGTTTGAACAGTCTCCAGAAACACTCTGGGGGCCGGATTCTCCATTAGCTAGTATGCTAGCAGGGTTCTAAGCCTGAAGAAACTATCCTGGGTTAGGAAAAGTCTTCAAAATCAACCCCTTTGATCCTCCAGACAACTGGGGCTTGCAAAGAAGGCTTTGGAGCTAAGAAGCTGACTGGGTGAATTGCCAGCTTGGGACGGGGCCAACAATAAGCAAGTTCACCATTGACAATCAGCCGTTCATAAATACTTTTAAAATGTACATTGAAACTGCCTTCTACTTCTTAAACACATTATTTTCCTTACTTACCTATTTGCTTCAAAAGAGGCTTTTTACAGTTGCAGTCTACTTTAATTTGCAAAAAAATGAATTTGAAATTGTATTGTGTGCTCATGATGAACATGTTATTTGTAAAGTATATAAACTATTGTTGAAATTGAATTTGGAAAACAAATATGTGAAACAGTGTATGATTCAGCAGGCAAGGAACTTTGAATACAATATAATGGTTGACCAATAGGAAAATATGTGGATGAACAGTCTAAAATTTACATTGAACTATAATTTGAAAGAAAATGTTTACAAAATGATGTATCATTGGTACTTAACACCTGAAAAATTGTCAAAGATGTATAAAGGTCTTTCAAATATAAGTTGGAAATGTAATTAAGAAGGTACTTTTTATCATCTTTGGTGGACTTGTGGACTTGGCTAAGATTCATGTTATAATACAGAAGATTTTCAAAACTAACGTAAAATTGAAACCTGAAGTTTTTCTTTTAGGATTACTAGATAAGGAATAGGAAAAAAGATTTGGAACTTTGTTATTGTATATGTTGACTGCAGCAAGAATTCTATATGCACAGAAATGGAAAGATATATCAATCCCCACAACAGAAGAATGGATGGAAAAAGTGATGGAGCTACTATAGCAGAAATGGCAAAATTGACTGCTTCAATTAAAGAACATATCCAGCTTTGTTTCTACTTGGAAGCCACTTCTGGACTTTGTGCTCGAGACAGTAAAAATGAACTCTTGATTTGGGGTTTTGCTGAGTAGACCAACAAAGTTGAGGCTGTAATTTTATTTTGTATTTTACTGAGCTGAAAAAAGTTGGAAGTCAATGGTTTTCTTCTTTCCTCCTTTATCATACACTTCTCTCCCTTTCTTATCCTTTTTCATTTCCCTACTAACTTTACTTTCATTTGTATTTTACATTGTTATAATTTCAACAAAAATTATTAAACTTAAAAAAATGTTCTAGCTTTCCAGGATCTTATTTCTCTTTAATTCAGTCAATTAATAACTCCCAGCTACATTTGCATATTGCTAAGCTAAGCTAAACTAAGCAAAAGTCATTTCTCATTGGAACTTGCATGGGAAAACCTGGGAATTCCAGAGGTACTGGCTAATTTCAGAAGTTAAGAAAAACATGCAGAAGCAGTCACTTCTGGACAATTGCCAAGAAAATTGAACAGGTATGTCTATATAGTTTCTAGGAGTTGAGCCTGACTTATGGAAGTCTTGCCTTTTTTTATTGGAATGTGCTAGAGATCTAAGATCTCACTGGAAACCAGGTATGAATCCATTTAGAATTGATAGACTTCTAAGCTAAAATTCTATCATGAGTACTAGAATAGTATTGCACACAAAAGTCCATTCTTGGGTTCCAATCTTTCCCCATCCCCTGACCCCTTCTTTTTCTCAGCCATAAAATTATGAATAAGACAGTTTCTAAAAATGGAAGTTGGAAACTCTTAATAGTTCAAGGCAAATCATCTTAAGTACTACCAGTAGTTCTAAATTATAAGCAGTCCTGCCTTATAGGACAAAGGTTTGCTGTACATTTTGACCCTTTTCACTGCTTGTTATATAAACTGGTCTCCTGAAATCCTTGCTAGTTCTGGCCCATGTTTTAACAATATTTCTTTTGCCAGGTTCTTCTGCTATACCCAATTTGGTCCCTTCCCATTCTGTTTTTGGAGAGTTACCTTACTGACAGACTGAATCCTAAACCATTTACATAATTTATGTCCAAAACATGTCTGATTTGGGGAAAAAAGGAAGACTTTCTTCATTGATATACTATTCACTTTCACCAGACTATAAGAAATGTATATTAATATACAGGTTTTAAAACAGACACACTTTAATTTTGCTTACAATCCAATGGCTCCGAATTGGATAGGTGCTTTTTGAACTGCTCATTCAAGTCTTTGCTTACACCAATATCTTGGAACATCCTTTGAAGTTTGGATGTGTACTCAAAGCCACAAGCTTGCTGTAATGAATTATAGAACAATTATAAAGTTATACATTTTGGCAGAAAATAATGCACACACTACAGAGATACCTAGTCTACAAGTCCTCCAATATAATGTAACCCAGAGGTCAACGTTTTTGACACCAGGGACTGGTTTCATGGAAGAATTTTTTTCCATGGATTGGGGGGGGGAGGTTTCAGGATGATTCAAGTGCATTACATTTTTACATTTATTGTAAATTTTCTAAATAAACAAACAAATAAATAAATAATACAGGAAGGAAAAGAGACAATCCTAAACTCAGCCTTCCAGCAAAACAAACCAAAGACCCAGCACGCTGAGGAAGTGCTGAGAAAACCATGAGAGAGAGAGAGAGAGAGAGAGAGAGAGAGAGAGAGAGAGAGGGAGGGAGGGAGGGAGGGAGGGAGGGAGGGAGGGAGACCAACCAACTAACTCAGCACTGCGCAAGTGCCCAGCAGTCTTGGAAAAGATGCAAATGAGTGAGGGATTCCCTTGGAGACTCAGTGCTTAAGGGAAAATGTAGCTGCTCCCCTCTCCCCTCCCCCATTGCAAGCCGGGTAGGAGCGCCCAGCGGTCTTGGAAAAGGTGCAGAGAGAGAGAGAGAGAGAGAGAGAGAGATAGAGAGAGTGCTTAAGGTGAAAGGTATGGATGGCAAAGTCTTACGGTATTCATTAGCAGTTTCCACCTTCTTAAAAGATTATGGTGTAAATTTGACTTTAAAGGTTTTAATGATATATGATTTTTTAAGACTATGCCACAAAAAAGGTGCTCAGTATATGGGTTTTGGAAAGTGAACAATGCATTAAGGGGCCAGAGGACTTGGAATTATACTTTTGAATTATTTAGAAGATAGGATCCAATCTGGGTCAGTTATCGGGACCAGAGGTTTATTCTTCCGAGCTTTTGGACTTATGCTGGAGTCCATCCTCACGGAACTTCTCTCTACCGGAATGTGTGCTTTGGGCTATTCTATGCAACATATTTATGTAGTGCCTGGTTGGGTGTGGCTTCTTATTGGTTGATTGAGGTATTGATAGCTGGCTATTAAGTCATTGGCTGTTGTTTCCTTGTGCTGCCAAGTCCTTGGCTCCTAAATACCTGATAAGCTGGTGGTAAATCAGCACTCTCGTTAACGCTTCTCTGTGGGAGGGTGCCTTTCCCACGGCCCTCAAAGAGGCGGTGGTGAGGCCCCTCCTTAAGAAGCCTTCCCTGAACCCAGATGTATTGGCCAACTATCGTCCAGTCTCCAACCTTCGCTTTGTGGCGAAGGTTGTTGAGAGTGTGGTTGCACAGCAGTTTCCTCGGCACCTGGAGGAAACAGTCTATCTAG